TTCTTAACTATTAGTTTCTCCAAGATGGGGGCCCAAAATATAATCTGCTATATAGTTAGCAAATATAATAAGTAGATGAAAAACATTTATAGAAAAATATGTACATGGACCAAAGGGCATATCAAATCTAGCGAAGAGTGTATCTAAATAAATTATAATCAAAAGCGTGCCAAGCAGGCCTTACACTAAATAAACATTATTATTACTTGCTCACCTTAAATTACTTTCTACGTGAAACACTCCGCATTCAAATAAGCGTTACTAACACTGCAGTATGAAATAAAAGAGATGAAATGAAACGAGAGTACCTACACCAAGCCATTTGCTGTTCTAATACGTATTATCCGCTGTATCCGCCGTTACGTCCACTTAGCCAAACATGCCACGACGGCTAAGCTCACCATTAAAGCCGATCACTGTGACGACGTAAGGACTTTGTTGCGTAGTAAATTCCTGTCTTGCTGCCTTTTTTAACAATCTAGTCGGACACTTCAGTTACACAATCATTTTGCCAACTTTGAGTGCCACAATGCGTTACGTGTTTGCTTTATAAGCGAAAGAAGTGTGAAAAAAATTGAGATTGAAATGAAATGAAATGTAAGGAAAAACAAAAAAAAAAAAAAGAATATTTAAAAAAGGCAAAGAAAAACTGCTCTTACAAGTGGTAACAGAAAAAAGGTTGGTTCGAAAAAATGAGAAATAAAGGCAAAGAAATTTCAAGCAGCTTGCTTCGACTTCACACTTCAAGCTGTAGTTGCCGCTACCGTGCTTATGTTAACGCTTACCCGTAACTCGGTAACTCTGCACAACTCGATTTTACTTCCGTTTAACGTTACCATTTTTTTTTTTTTTTTGAGTTAAGTGTGCGGATATTTTGTTCTTTTTCAGTTTGCGCTTTTTATGTATTTTCTTTTATTTTCTATTCTTTTATTTGCAACTATGGCCTTTTATGCTTTTATTCCATTCTACTTGGCATAATCATACTTTTTTGTCATTTCGTTTCGTTGCCATTGCTCTCATCCCATATTGCGGCGTGACTTGCGTTTGTCACTACACTTTTATGAAGAAAGGAAATTGACTTCATTTTTGTAAGTATCTTTCTGAGGGATAATTGCGCTGCACTCAAATAATTTTTTCTTGTTTTGTACTTTTTCAACTTAGCCGCTGAGTGTTTTTACAAATACCTTTTGCTAAGTTTTGTGTACTACTTGAACCCGGGCTTAGTATTTTGCTCAGGATATTTTTAATTTGTTCAGCAAACGGTGGTTTATAGCTGCTTCAAATAAATAAATTTTATACAGAAAAGCGAAAGAATATTGGGAATTATGAATGAGGCTTGGAAACTCATGATTCGTGATCGCTCATACGATAATGAGATCATGATTATTTTGCTCGCATAAATTTCTTTCTATTCTTTCTCCGATTTCTCTACAATGCATTACTTGGCGGCCGATATAGCCGTGTGGTTAGCAGTGCGTATTACCATACGGAAGGCCAGGGTTCCAAATTAAATAATTTATTCATATAGCGGTTGCAGGAAATGTCAAGCATTGGAGTATATTTCTAACATGAAATAATGGCTACTCATTAAAGTCATCAGCCATTCAGAGGCGGCTTAGTATAAATTGTAGATCGCTCCGTTCATTGGAAAAAGATCAACGGGTACACAAATAAATTCGAGGAAAAGCTCGACTGAAAATCGCTTTAGCGGTTACAAAGCGCCAATTATAATAATAATTAAAATTCTTTGCAACTCAGTTCTCCTCATTGCAATATGCAGTTTCCACCTTCTGTTTTTAGCTCCTGACTTGTTGTGCCCTAAAATATATGGAATGTTTCTGGTTTTCTGTATTTTGTTTATGGTGATGAAAAATACAATTGTTGCCTCGTCAGCACATGGCGCTGCCTTACTCTCTTCATTTTATTTTCTTTATCACAATTTGCACAGTAAGCTATGCCGATGTCGACATTAGCGCTGTTACCACAGCCTAAGCAGGTCAGCCAAACAGCAGGATTTACCAACATTGAAATGGTTCATGTAATTTCAAGGATTTTGTCGCGTTGATGTTGTAGTTTTGACGAGGCCAATGTGTCTACTATCTACTCACAAATGACATAGGTAAAGCAGTGTGCGCTGCTACGAGTAGGTGGCCTTACAAAGGGGAGAACACTCTCCTTTCTGCTCCATTTTTTAATGTTTTTTATTGCCACTTTTTTTATTTTTCTTTTCCTGCTTCTTCTCTTATTCTTTTCTTTTTTGCTTGCGTTTTTTTTTACTCTGCTTCTGATATGAAATTATGTGCTGTGATTTTTTTTATGAATAAATACTACATTTTTCGATCATATCGCACTTCGTTTTGGCGGCAATTCGCCGGCGCTGTCGCCTTTTTGTACTCGTGAACCCAGATTCAGATAGTGGAATAGATTTTTCATTTGGCAGCCATTTGTATGGACATATGTCAAATCGACTGTCATTTTAATGTTTGCGAAGTGAGCAGAGTATGTTTCAGGCCTACAAATACTCAAGTAGCGTTAGATAATGAGATATATAGAGAGAGAGAGAGAGTTGGAGGGACAACGTGCGGTTGTGTGCTCAGCATCTAAATATGCTGCCCAACAAACAATGCTGATTGTTGAATACTGAGGCATATCATGATTTCCCATCAAATTGCTGGCACTTAATTTAATGAATTGTTGCCATTCGCCCACTTGAACCGCAACACAACGGAAAGGAGCGCCCCGCCCGTGTCGCCTCGGTGCAAAGTTTGATTAATACAAGCAATCTTGCAATGTGATACAACAACAAGTTCAATGTTTATTATGTAGTTTACATATTTGTGTGTATGTGCGAATTGTGTAAATTTGCTCATGACAAATATACATATATACATATGTAGGTTGAAGCTGATTACAAGCGTAATACAAATGTACATACATATGTATATTATATACATATGCATATACAAACAACAAAATAGATTGTCAATACTTCAAATTTGTTCTCCAAACATAATCACTATAATTGTATGTCAGTATGCACCGCTGTTACGCGTAATTTATGTATGATGCAACCTTGTCGTTGCTTTGTTTTTGTCATGTCATCAAGCAGCTACTTAAGATTCACACACAGCTGTTGCTTTTAGTAGAGAAATTAGCCGTAAAATACGGAAAAGTATCGTTAAGAGTGAATTCGAAGATAGAGCTTCGACAGCTGTCCGCAATATTATCGATTAATCTAATGGAAATGGCATAATTACGTTGTTTACTCTCCAGTCGTGTTGAGGTAATTAGATGTGCTATGCGGTGGGATGTCCTAAGTGACAGTTTCTTACGAAATTGAGCAATAAAATATGCAGGGAAACATCTTGGGGTGCTTATGCTGCAGTTGGATTTTTTGACTTACTCTCTCAGTCTGCGATATTAATTTGGCTGACGACAAGGCAGATAATAAATATGAGTCTTCCGATTTCCAAACAATAATTAATTTGTGCTTGAAAATTAGAGAACGAGAGATTGAAATCGACAAATGAATTTAACTCTCCCGTACTCTTCCCATACTCTTAAATTAGTTTTATATAATACATATAATTGGCGCTTTGTAACCGCTGAAGCGATTTTTCGCCGAGCTCCTCCTCCAATTTGTGGTTTTGCGTCTTGATGTTTTTCCAACAAATGAAAGGTCCTACATTTATAATAAGCCACTTCCGAACGGCTAATGGTTTTTTATGTCAGAAATACACACGGAGGGGTTGACATTCCCTGCCGAGGGACTTCAAAATCTTTGAAAATTATCGCGGTAAAGGTCTGCTTAATACCGCCTGTAAGGAAAGACTAAAACCCACCGTAAATGAAGTAATTTGAGCCTATCAGCTTACTGAAGAATTGAGCCGTGGGAAAACCTCATCAGAATCACTACTGCTAACTTTGGACTGAGCAAAGACTTATCGCTACAAATCCCTCAGCAATCTCGCGCATGAAGACATAGTCTGATGAGTCGGCACTGGAACTTATCAAGAGAAGGAAAGATTTATAAGCCTAGTGCGGTGAATACCGAGGACGCTGGAACGGTAAGCTGTACGAGGTACGACATAGTAAAAATCAGTTGGATGAAAATACTTCAGCATTGAAAGTGTTCGATGCCGTGAAAGAAAATGAAGAGGAACACTTACACTCCGTTGGAAATGTATTATTTGGGAGAAGAGTAGTCTACAGTAGGTAGCTCTAATTGGCACAAAAATAAACGGTTAGTATTCTGTTGAGTCGACCAAATAAACTAAATATTAAAAAAAAAACAGATTTTCAAAAAAAAAGAGGTTTCCAAAAGTATAGTTGAATTAAAATGTTTGATTGAAATAATTAAAGGTTGGCTGCGGAGTTTCGTTTCGTTAAAAATTTTCCTTAAAGAAGCGAGAGAGAAATAGTGAGCGTGAGAGAGAAAGAGAGAGCGCGTGAGAGAGAGATAAAGAGAGAGAGACAGAGACAAAGAGAAAGAGAGTGATTGAAGTAGAAATTCAATAGGTTCTAAATGAGAGTGTCACCCAGTTGAAATAACGCAGTTTCGCGAAAATGGCTATTTAAGTGCTCGAGTGGCTGGATTTACCCCAGTTTATGTGAAATACCACATCATTCAAATGATCGCCCCTCGAATTTTTGCAAAAATCCACCTGCTTGAGGTAATTTTAAATAATTTTTAGAACATATTGGACGGTATCTGAGTAAGAAAACAAAGGTCTAACGGCATAAGTAGCACGAATTTGGCGGCCAATTGTCATCGCCAAGAGAGAGATTAGGCGGTCGGAAAATTTCTTTCACAATATAGCCACATACCATTTAAGTACGTTCTCTTTCAAGCAGCTTAATTAAAAAAAAAAAAAAAACAACAGCTACAACATATTGTATTTTAATGAATCCGAATTGGTGGGCAAAATTTATTTTTGGAAAAGTTTGCATAAAATGTTTTTAAATTATTAACATTTAATAATTCAATAATTTTTAAATTACCTAGTTAATTCTTTCATTTATATCTATGCATGTACTCACGTCAATACAATAAAATTAAAAAATTGGCCATACATTTCACACATCATTATCCCGCTGTCCTGATATCACGCTGTTCTTATAATTCCTTTACACATAGGAAAATAACAAAAGAATAATTTGTATTTTATCGCGTAATAAGGATTTTCATCAGCTATTTAAAAGCCCACACATAAGCCTGCCAAGCTTGCCCATGGCAGCGCTCCAGTCGCCTGTCTGTCTACTGTGGCTTGCGTGGCATGTGACGTGTGGCAGGCGGCAATGGCGGCATCGGCGATAGGGTTTGCTTGGCTCCACTTAATATGACAGCAATTAATACTGGCAGTCATTTCTATAGCAATTGTCATTATACATATGAGCTTTTACTGACAAATTAATGGCCTTGAGAAAAATGGCGGAGGGGGTTATGTTTAGCAACCCAGTAGGAAAATGTTGACACAATATTTCTCACTTAATTGTTTTAAAGAAAATTATTATATTATTATGCTTATATTTATTAAAAAAATATATAATATACGAAATACATACATTTATATAAGATTTTATATAATGAAAAATAAAAATTATGCAAAAAATATATTTAATTCTTACTTAATTTGAATTGATTGCCTCGAAATCAAGCCAAATACCCCCTTCCAAACTGCCGAAAAAGCTTTTCCTGTTTAAAGTGTTATCAGCGCGCGTTTTTGGATTTGGTTTGATTATGAAATTCCTTATGAGTTCAGCAATAGCAGCTTTGCTCTGAGTCAGGGCGAATCTTACACCTGTAAAAAATTAATGCAGTTTAATTTTTAGCATATTTTTATACTCCTTCAGCGCTGAGGAGTATCGTTTGCTGTATTCTTCTAGTAAAACGGTTTCTTTTACCTCTCTTTCACTCTATCTCTCTCTTTCTCTTCTTTCTCTCTCTCTCTATCTCTCTCTCTCTCTTTCTCTCTCTCTCTCTCTCTCTCTCTCTCTCTCTCTCTCTCTCTCTCTCTCTCTCTCTATCACTTTTACAACTAAAGAATTAAAAAACCATTTACCCAAACACACACGCGGTCCATCGCCGAAAGCTAAGTATGCGCCTCTCTCACGATAGCTTTTTAAGCCACCATTCTCTGGCATAAATCGTTCTGGCTTGAACTTCTCGGGCTCCTCATAAATACTCTCATCGTGATGTATTGAGTGTGTGGGAATCATGATGATATCATTCGTCCTCACTTTCAAAATGCTACCATCTTTATTTACAAGTTCACAAGGACTTGTACAAAGCTTTTTGTTGAAGAGTATAGGTGAGAAAATTCTGAGAGCCTCTATAGAGTTATTCAAATCAGAAGCGTTGCAAAGGAAAGTAATATCAAACTACACAAACCATGTAAGCACGCATCTAAGTAAGGCAGCTCAGAGAGTGTCTCGAAGCTCAAATTACTCTTGTCATCTAAATTTTTAGTAATCTCTTGACGTAACATATTTTGTATATTCTGGTGTCGTGCCAGCTGAAATAAGGTGCTGAAATTTTATAAACTCGCACACATATTAAATACTCAAACACCTACCAACAACAAACAATGTGAGATAGCTGTTGCAGTTGTCAAAAAGCCATCTGTCAAAAATGTCATGGCATGTGACGTAAGTTCCGGTGTTGACAAATTTCTCTTCTCTTGTAGTTGCAGCAAATAATTAATAATGTCACCACTATCCAGATTTTGCTTACGTCTCAAATCTATAGTCTTCTGCATTAAATTGATGAAAAACTCCTCAACATCCTTGGGGAAAAAACGCATTTTATAAAAATTTTGCACTGCTGGGAAAAAGCCGGTAATGAGTTGATACAGTCGAAATATGTAGGTATGACTGAATATTTTTTTCGTATTCGCATAAATTGGCGTTGATTCATCGCTAAGACTATTCGCTCGGATGCCCAGTACACATTCGCTGACCACCTCGGAAGTGTAACGTAGACAGAGCTGAGGGAGAAAACTGTTATAAATGCATAGAAACTAACTGGAAGAGAGCTTATTAGCTTACCTCATCCGCATCTAAGCCAGTTGAGGAACTCATTTTACTTTGCTCTCTAATGTAATGGGTCAATCGGTGACATACATCGGTTGTTATTGAATAGACGACTTTGATCTGAGTGGTGGGGAGAGGATCGTTAATATTTATATACTCCTAAAGACTTAGTAGAGAAAAATGAAAAAAAAGAGGAATAATGTGTATGATAAGAGAGGGATACTGAGGGAAATGAATTGTGACATCCAAGAAAAAGCGAAAAATAAACAAAATTTAAGTTTTTATGTGACGGTGGCCACGGTAGCAGGAAGGCTCCCAACATCCAAAAAAGTTCTAGAAAGTTTATTAAAAAAAAAATCATATAAATTTTCTAATTCCGGTTGCCCCTCGGCAAGGAATGTCAACCACTCCGAGTGTATTTCTGACGTGACATTCCTCACAAAAGGCAGAAAACCAGCAGCCGTTCGGAGACAGCTTTGTATAAACTGTAGGTCTCTCCACTTTATTGAAAAAACAACAAGACATATCCCGCAAATCGAAGGAGAAGCTCGGCCTCAAGACGCTTCTGCCGTTTGGAGAGTAATATTTCTCTCGTGAAAACCCTTGCCCCTAGCGGCAAAAAATGGGATAATCTTCACCAGCCAAAATCATTCGATATAGACAGAAATAGATGGTAATTACTTAGCGCGAGGTTCGGCTTAAAAGGTGGATGCATAGGAGCGTCCAAGCCAGTCTTTCGGAGTTTCTGACGAGCCACTATCAATGTGTTTGGTCTAGCATAGTCCTGATGAAATACAATTCCTCGCCTGTTTCTAGTTATTTCAGACGGTCCAATCGCTGCTAGTAGAGGTCCGAGTTAATTGTTTTACCGTAGCTCATAGTGCATAATTCCTTACCAATACCAAAAAACACACAACAAAAACTTTCTGGCTGACAATCTGGGCTTGAAGATCATTTGTGCCGGTTCAGTGCCCTTCGACCATGACCATTTTCAATTGACGTCACTGTAGGTGATCAACTTTCATCACCAATCACCATTCGCTCCCGAAATCGGTCGATTATTGCAAAAATAATGAATTAATTTTTATTAGATAATCCTGTTATTGGTCTTCTCTTGTAGCTTGTTTAGTGATACGTAGTAATCTGATACCGGTATATTTTTAACGCCCATTCAAGTGCGACTTACTGATTAGCACACATCATAGGTAAGAACCTCTCGTGCGATCATGGTCGTGCTATTGTTTCTCTTCTTTGTTGATCGGAAAGTTCTTTAGAAATCATAGACCAGCTCAAAGCTTGTCTTTTTTAACAAACTTTTTCTGAATATTCCTATTGCGAATTGTCGTATTCATATACTCAGAGAGCAGTGATATCTCACTGCCACTCACTCTTATTCTTCTTCTACCAGTATAAGCCATATAAGCATGTTCCAGATGGAATCAAAACTGCAGAAGATATTTAAGCAGCGGCAATAAATATTTTCGCCGATATATAAGCGTATTGCATTCTTATTGAAAAAAAGGCTACGTAATCGTATCTCCTACAAAAACAAGAAACTATTTAATTGAATAACAAACTTACTCTATTCGCTGTCAATCCAGGCACAATTTCAACTCTCCGCTCTTTCCACTTCTCACCAGTTAAAACAAATGGGTTGTTGGCCAAGATAAAGTCACTCTTTTCATCCACCTGCAGCGATTAAAAATCGTGGCAGAATTTCGAGAGAAAATTTCGATTAAGTAAAATTAAAAACTTACCGATTTTGACATTTCGTTGTCGTGAAAATGTTTAAAATCGCTAACCAAAATTTTTTGCACACACACAGGGTTTAATATAAGCAGCTTTGGGGTACGCATCATTAAAACGCCAATAAAATTGTCATCACTTTTGTTAGCTCTGAAAACATAGTAAGTAGTGTTATAAATACGATTACTTGCCATTTATGCAGTGCTACATATAAACAACCCCTCACCTGTAAATTTCATCAATATCATAGGCAATATTTTGTTTTTGTGAAAATATGTTAGGAAACGAACCAATGAGGGCGTAAGATTTTGCCTGCTTTATACCACGCTTTTGCCAATAGCTTAAATTCCACGCTAGAAAAGTGTATATCACAGCGGTGAGTATGCCCACCAAGGCAAAGGTTACAATGAAGCACTCAAGCATTGCTTTTATTTTGGAAAAAATTGTTGAAAAAAAATGCTGAGAATTTCACCAATTAATCTTTGCATGCGTGTACTTCATCGAGAGAATGCACACTTTTTCTGTTTGCAATAATTATGACTTTGTCTGTAATATTTATTATGCTTCTGCTTTGAGTGGCGACACATTCACTCTTGACTCTTGATAAGCACTGAAATGCAGCATCGTATTCAGTTTGACTTTTGTGAAATATTTGTTGCATTTTTTCGTTGTTCATTTAATAAATGCAAATTGCTGTAGTCTGTGATAGTAAATGGGGAAGTGCATTAAGGTAACCCCACAAAATGTGGGAGTATTTTTTTTTGTTGAAAATGTAGTTAACGGTGTAGTGTTTGTTTCTATAAAAATTGTTAGTAACTAAGTGAAAGACAAAAAATGGAGAAAGAATCTTTTTGAACAGGCCAATGAAAAAGAAATGTGACTTTTTAGAATATATATATATATAATATACGAAATTTGAACATCAAAACCTTCTTTGGAACTGGTGGGATTTGGCACAAAAATGGAAGGAAAATGTCCGCAATATGAGATTATTAATTTAAAAAAAAATATATATCAAGTCGGTTAATCCCTTTCACAATTAAACAATTTTGTGATTAGTCTATAAATTTTTCTAACTAAGGAATAGTTTTAATAAAGTTTGCATCAGGCTCGGAAACATGGAAACAGCCCGAGGTAACATTTTCCCTTGGTAGAACTTGAAAAACAACTCCAAAAGTTGAAAAATATTCCCAGAAGATTGTATAAAATTTGTTAAGATGCGGTCTCAAGACCGTTTCAAAAGACCATGGTTATGAGCTTGTTGTCACCTCACCTTGACTTTCTTTGATGTATTATAAGGCTGATACACACAATGCCTTGATTTTTCTTCGATCCCTGGTAAGAAGTGAAGAATCCATACTTCGTCTATGCCCACAAAGCTATGCTAAAAGTCGTTCAAATTGCGACTGAAGATCGCCAAATACCATTTGAAGTGGTCACAAGTTTACATTAATGATGTTGTGTGAGCAATCGTAGATCCACGTATAACCAATTATATATGTCTATTCATTGTTTTTTCATAAATCTTAAGGCTTTATTTACCATAGATAAAACTATCCGACTTATAAATCATTTTGCTCGATAACGTTTTGCCATTTTGCCTCTCTCATAACAACCCTTGCTTCTGTTGGCGTTAAATCGGAAAAATCGATTTCCATAGCCTTCTCTTGAGACCAATTCCTCACCCGCCAAACTGTTCGCTATAGTCGGAAACAGATTGTTATCACTTGATGCGAGGTCCGGCCTTAAAAGTGGATGCATAAGAACCTTCCAACCAACCTCTCGGAGCATCTGGAGAGTAACTATCGCTGTGTGTGGTTGGGCGTTGTCCTGATGAAAAACAATTGCCATCCTGTTGGCCAAAGCTGGGCACTCCTGTAGGTAGCTTGTTTCAGACGCTGAATTTGCTGATAGTACAGATCGGAATTAAGTGTTTGGCCGTGAGTAGCACACAGTGATTGATTCCTCATGTTTTTTGTCAAAGCCACTACACTCAGTTCTGTTCTCGCATTGATCTTTTCCATTTCATGTATTTTGGGTGAGCTGAACGTTCGGATTTGCTGTTGCGACCACAATCAAATCATTCAGAGCCATTGATATTGGTGATGTTGAACCCCTTTAGACTTTCCGTGGTTGCTATCTTAAACAAAGATTATAGCTCAGCAAGCACACGAAAATCACTTTTCTATATTTTTCGGTTAAAATTCAAGGTGTTAGGTGTACTGATTAGACCGAATGATGATCGTTATCTCTTTATCCGGTTCTCGCTCTCAGCAGTGTTCTCTGAGAGTTGTGTGGCACATAAAAGTGTTGAGCATAGCTTGTGTCTCCCTTAAGCGTGGGAATTATTTTTTGAATGTTTCCTTCATAGTCTATTGAAGCTGGGTTACCGTAATTTTACACCATATATTATATCACGCTTTCGCTTTTTGACAGCTTATAGGCTCTCACTTGGTTCTGTCAAGTGGTAGGTTCTAATAAATTCATTTTTTTTTATTTTAAATTTTTTAAATAAATATTTTCATCATTTTAGTAAGCCTTTGGAACGACCCTTGCATCACGAACAACGCAATAATGCCTAGTCATGCCAATTGCTTATTTGCTCATTCGGGCGACGTTCGTCTATTTCAAGAAAACTAATTCAATTGATTTTGTCTGTATCAATTTAGAGATGACTCGACTTTCTGAGAGGAAAAAAAAGTTATAAAAATAAACTTTTTATAGTTACGTTAATAACATTTAAAAAAAATATATAAAAACTAAAAAGTGTTGTATGTGTAAATAACTACAGCTAAGAAAACGTGCATAGAAGTACGTACAAAAGCCGCAAAGAGATTTACGCAATTTATTTGCGACACTTTTTTGTCACATTTTGTGTTTCATTAGTGATTCTGGTCGGCTACAATGCAATTGCTAGGAATTTTGATATTTTTTTTACACACACTTCTCTATGCTGTTTCGTTTACCGAACATATTTTTCTTTGTTTTCTGTTATGGATATCACATTTTCGTTTTCGATTTCCACAATTGCTATTCGGAATTGTTCTCACTTAACGCAATTCACTCAAGTCTGAGTGTGTGCAGCAGAGTGAGTATGAGTGCAATTGCGCTGCACACACTTGAGTGTGACGTCGCGGTGTTTAAGTCTCTGCGGCGCCGAGGTTGCGCAAGCACAGTGTTTAATTGGTAACAAAAAAGCGATAATAAATATTTTATGTAGGCGAGAAATTAAAAAAAAAATTACTTATTATAATTTTTAACTTTGGTGTAATTTTTGAAAATTATAAGCGTGAAATGTGTACTTTGAGCGTTTACTTTATTTAGCTAAAAATTCAGCAACTCTTTTCTTAAACACTGTAATATTAACAATGGGTTGCCACAGTCTGCATTTTTGTATGCAGTTTAACAAAATATCATTTTTTCCCTATTCAATGTCAAAACATTTCGCACATGCAGGACAATTTAATTATTCATCCCTCAATGACAATACTGATGCTTTACAGTTCCATTTACAAACGTAATGTCTAACCTCATACATAACAGATTGCAAACAAAGATAAGTATATGTATACAATAGCATATGTATGTATGTGCCTAAGTACTGTTGTAATATGCCTTGAATTAGGATAACTGCGTTTGCTCTTCATAACTTGTTTTTTCTTTCTGTTTTTCTGCTATGTCTGTATGTCTCGCATGGGCGACGCTACTGTGTCTGCTGAAAAAAAAAAAAAAAAAAAAAAAATAGGCAGCCCACAATCACATCATGTAAGCTAAGTTATGCATTCATTCATTTATATTTGTTTGCAGACTTTTGATTTATGACTGTAAATTCTTGCTGAAAATGTCTCCATGCGCTTTAAACTTTTGCAATGTAACTTGGCGAATGAATAATGCAAGAAAAAAAAATCAGCTTTGTGTATATGTGTATTAGAAAAGTTACATATGTTTTATACATGTGCACTAACTGAAAAAGAAAAACATACATACAGGGTGCGTCAAAGTGGTAAATATGCTATGCTCACTTGAGGAAGAAATAAAAAGCGTCAAGTAGAACTAAGCAAATTTAAGAAAAGGAGAAGGTGAAATACTTTTTTATTTGTTTAATAGCACAAAAAATAATATTTTCTATTTTCCCAAAGGTATGCGATGTCTTACATTCGGAAGTGAAATAATTCTAAAATTTTCTCGTACACAGCAAGTGCTGTATATTTTGGTCTCTTGCTCAAGAAAAAAGAATGACTTTTCGCAAGCATTAACAAGTCCTGTTCAATTAGACAGTGGTTAAGTGACAAAGACTCGGAAGTGAAATAAGTATTTATTGACCTGTATATGGAATGCATAATTTTTAATAATTATTTTTTGGAAATTTTAATATGTTCTTTTCAGCTAATTCAGAAGTGGAATAATTTAACATTTAACTTTAACATCACAGAATTTGTAAACAATATTATAAGTGGTGGTGTGACGTCATGGATAGATTTTTTGTAACTGTAGGACCATGTGTAGTAAAAGCGTCAAAATGCGCTCAAATAATATTCAAAAAAGCTCTTCCCACAATTAAAATCGCTGGTTTAGATCAAAATCTGTTTGACGATAAGTTCCAGATCAATGCAAATGAGATATTGGACAGCTATGAGATTTTGAGAAGTAGAATAAGTCAATGCTGGCAGCTTTAACATAATACATAAGTCTCTTCTTCTACACTGTAATATTTTATATTCAAGATACGATAGGAACTAACATCGTTGCTTTATTGTTTATTAAGAAACAATAACTTAAAGTATATTTTTCATTACTTCTAGATTTGTAAAACATTCATTAGAGCACGGTTCTCAGGATATATTTTTCAGACCTTGTTAAGATATAATACCTGTTTTTCACCGGTTGCAGCTTGTAGGTGAATATTAAAATTTTACACAGGGCTATACATTTTGCAGTTTCCAAAATAAGCGTAAATTAAATGTAGTTAAAATATTTCTTTTCATGATATTCCTTTTTCATTATAAAATGGAAACTTTGGCATTATATGTGAAAAACCCCACCACTCCAATGACCGCCTGGTGATATTTTCAAACATCCGTTGGAAGTAAAATTTGATCACCTTTTGGTTCGTATTGCGCTATCTCAACCGTAACTGAAAGAATTTTGGTTTTCTTTAAGTAAAATTTCTCTCAAAATAAAGTGTTTTGTGGCATGTGGCATTATCTTGTTGAAACCATCTATTTTCCAAATCGTGTTCTTCAATTGAAGAAAAAAAAACCGGTTGTCATACGACCATACAGTTTTGAATTGAAAGTGACAGGCGCGCCGTTGTCATATTCAAAGAAATTAAGTCGACTCACACATCAAATCTATTTTAAGTGTAATGACCAATATTCAATTATTTGAGGATTCTCGGTGCTCCAAATGCGACAATTTTGCTAAATTACGTATCCGCGGAGTGAGCAATATGTCTCGTCGCTGGCCAAAATTTTTGTTCGTAGAATTATCATCTACTGCTTGTAGTCCGGTTCTTCGGCTGCACTTGCATTTACAGTAGATCAATTTGAGTAAGAACGAACAAAGAGATGAAGCACAGCTCTTAGAATATCTGTAACGGATCCAGTCTCATAGAATTTATTTAAACTTTAACTATCGTCTGCGTAGTTGAATGATTATGTGCACCATAATCGACTCTTAAAGCATGAAACATGACCAGGTTTAAGTGATCCGTTTTCATACGAGTAAAAACTTGAATTTTAACTAAATTAAAACATGTTTACTCTAAATACAACTCTGTACTTTTGAAACCACAACATGTATATCTTGTTTTCGGCAAATTTGTTCATCTATGTATACCTGAACTTAAAAATATTTCTCTGTTATACACATTTTTACATATGTGGTGCCTTCCTCTTTGTCTAGTTAATTTTCAGGAAATTTATATTAAATATTTACCAGTATCTTTGTCGAGTTGTGACATAAAATAGAAATTTTTCTTACGCAAGGCGAAAAGTTGAATTTTTGTGTACAGCTTTTATAACTACCTTACCTACACCCAAATGTAGACAATGTGGTACATGTACATATGTATGCATGAATAACTAATATATACATGCATACATTATTTTCTTGTTTTTTTACTGGTTATCAGTCTGTGCCATTTTAGAGTTTTTTTTTGTATTTTTTGCTTTTTTTTTTTGCAGTGTTCCCAACAGTTTAACAAGACTTTGTGACATATTTTGCTAAAGTTAACATTTTTATTCTTAGCCCAAGCGTTTTTAGTCCAGTTACATACTGCATATTGTAGTAAGTGCCTCTTGGCGTATGTCTTTCGTTGAAAAACGCTTATGACAGCTTTAGCTTTGAAGTGTTTGCTTGCGTTAGTGAATATGTGGGCAAGAAAAAAAGTACAAAAAAAAAAATTAAAAATAAATGGCTAAAAGGGATGTGAGTGCAAAGAGATGACTTAAATCGTTGTACTATATATATATATACTGGCATGCTTTTTGGATTTTTTGCTAGATGTGTTTGTATATAGAATTTTCTCTGAAGATAAGACTGCATATAAAGCCATTAAAGTGATCGATTTTTTCATAAGTTTCTTAAATTTAAGGGAGTGGCTTTCCAATTTGGTACTTGGTGAAGATAATATAAAGAGGCGGCGTGTTGAATATATGAAAATATCTCACTGACGCCAAATTTATGAAGATATCGAAGGATTACTGATAAAAAATCGAAAGTTTTGCCAATGATAGAGGACATTGCCACATCTTTGTTTTAAAACCAAGGTTAAATTCTGAAAATTAGTACTGTATATTTTAAACAGCATTGGTAACAGAAAATCATGCATTATACCCAAAGAGAAGAGTTTGAAAAACGTGATTTCCTATTATGAGGTGATTTCCATTGCAGACTATGGGTTGTTCTAACCCCTATGCCAAATTGAACATAATATTTTATGATTTTAGTGTATTTAATAATGAGCCAATGCACAAATAGATCTGTTACAGAAGTGTCGAGAGCTTTGAGTCTGTGAAAATGAACAGGGGAACAAAAATGCACGGTAAAGCTATAGGCAATCGCTAGTGAGATGTCGCCCGACATACAGTTTTAATAATATCGATATAACTGATTGGTATTGTTATGTAGTTTTATCTTTGAACAAAATTATTATTATTATTATTTATCTTTTATTTTAATAATTAAATGATAGTTTCTTTATTCCTCCAGGTTTGAACAAGGAATCTTGCTGTATGGGAGCAATATTATAGTTTTTCGCCAAAAAGGAAACAATTCGACAGTGTGGTACTTTAAGAGTTTCTGCTCAAGGATATTTACCTTTATCTTAAGAATTATTTTTTTTTTGTCATAATCGGGTAATAAGGAACACAAAATCAGAATTGGAATAAATTTTGTAAAATAAATTCGGAAGTGGAATAATTTATGCTGGGTTATAATTACAAATATCTAATTTAGGTAACCATTTAAGTAACCACCAACCAAGATGGGTAGTAATGATATTTCAGCAAAATAAGCGCCTTAAGCGAGAACGACTAATCGAGGTATTTGGGCACAGTAAGGAGCGTTTTAGTCCCATATTGCAACTTCTACTAGTCACTTCAGAGCCCGCGGTGTGGAAGCCGAAGCGATGCTGAGGAAGCATTTCCTAAAATCTGTGATTGGACATTGGTTTTTACACAAAAACTCCCTTTGGAGCAAACATTTGAATTTTGAAAAAGATTTCCAAAAATATGTACTTTTTTTACCTTTTTTTGAATGCTCTTACCAACACTTATTGTTCTCTCCGAGCTCATATTGTAAAGAGGAAGCACACATTCTCATCTGTATGCATTTTACAATGTATTTATTACCTATAAGCAAATATATATATTCTTGTTTGTATGTCGGGCAATCTTTTAAGCAGATTGGTTTGGCATTAAATCACTCGCAATATTGAACTGCTCTAATAAAGAAATATTTTCGTCTACACGCACCCGCACATTTTGCGCACTCAATTTTCTAACGAAGTGGAGCTTTGCAATATATATACCTATGTATATTTTTTTTCAAATATTTATAATACACACATGTGTGTGCTTGGGCTAGCTGATGGGGTTAAAAATGTCAATTTGCATATGAGCAACCAAAATCTCTACATTGAACTCTTGTATATACATTTTTTCTTTTCATTTATTTACATAGCATAGAACAATTTTAGGTTTAGCTTTCTCCCTTTTTTTTTTAGGAAAATTCAACATTTTTGCTATATATACATATACATTCATATAATGGTGGCAGAGATAAAATGGGGAAAGTGGTGTTGGGAATTAAATGGAATGATCGAATGTAGAGCTTATGAGTCTAGAGCCACATTTTTATTATTATTTTCAGGGGTAAATATAGAAATATACCTTTCTTCCTATATATAGATACTATGCATTTGTGTATTGAATTAGTGATTTGCCTTCGCTTAACAATTTTTTTTTTATTATTTTGTTTTTGTTGCAAATTGTGGCATTTTATGCCGATGCTCAATCAAAAAGCGATTACTTTGCTCAGTAAATGGTTTCAAGTGGGTTCCAATTTCTTTACTATGGCACAGGAAATTATAGAAAGACGCAATTTAAATATTAAATGAAGGTTATGGTTCGTGGGGAAGTTAAATTTTTACCTTTTTACAAGGCTCTTCTATTTTATGATAAATATTTAAAGGCTCTACTTTGATTTCCAATATTTACACAATTTTCTTTAAATTTATTAATTTTAAAATGAAACTAGTAAAAATATTTTGAGTAAACCAGTTTTTAAATTATCAATACTTTTTTTTCGCAAATTTTTATTTAAGCTATTTAAGCTGAAATCTTTAAAGAAAGCACAACGTATGCAATTGTTAATAATTTTTAAATCAATTTCCACATTTATCTCCATAAATCCTAAATTGAACACATTACTCATATAAATTTCACTTCACCCACCTGCAATTCATATAAAATTCAGTCGTACGGCCAAGTCAACACAAGTATCATCTTCGTTAGTATTCAACGGAAGTATTTGAAAATCAAGTAATTTTTCAGGCAAACAGATTTTTAAAATCTGATTTGTTTGCGCAATTACTCTATTCTAAGAAACGTAGGGGGGAGAAGCAGCGAGACAAGAGTGGATAGAAAGCAGACCATAAAGAAACAAATCAGTCAAATGCTGAAAAGAAAAGTAGAGAATGAGTGGTATAAGGTTGAATAAGATGAAAGAAACAACAACTCAAAATAATAGTTAACGTAATTTGTAAGTCAAACGCGTACATCATGCAAAAACGATTTGCAATTTTTCTCTCAAATGATGAATGCTTAGGCACTTAAAAGCTTGTTGGACGTGCGTATATACAATAATGTTGTTTTTTTTCTGGCTACCGGCTTGCGATTGAAATGATTATTAGTTATTGTTTGATAATGGTTTTCAATTACTTTAGTTTTATCAAAATCAAGTCTTAATTTGCTTTAGGTAACGAAGTGACCATCAAAAGATATTTGAATGATTTTGTGATAGCATTTGAAAAATATTGTGAAATTGTGGCTGGTGGTGTCTGAGCTTAAATGTAGGCAACGCTTTACTGTATGATGTGGAAAAGAAAAAAACATTGCCTACTTTAAGGAGAGCACATTATCCGTGTGACTTAATAATCACAGTTTCTAAGCAAAAGTTCAATGCTGGAAAATTATTCAATTAGTAGAAGTTCGAGCTGACAGTAAGATGGTCGGTGTATTACTGTGTGCATGGGTATTTGTATTTAGGATTTTTTATATAATATATTTTTTTCCCTCAAGCGCGATTGATATCTTACTTGTTTACATCAATATTCACATCAATTAATCGCTTCTATATATCTCTCTCTTCCTGTTTGTGTTTACTTCCAGTGATTCGCCAGCCGCAAACGCCTTTCAATTAAAGTCAATGAAATAAATGTAAATAACGGTTAAGCTGAAAAGGACTACAAACAAGCAGCAAAACAGATAATAGATAAACTACATGTAAAGTGTTATTTTCATTTTCATTTCCACTATGCGCAGTTGGCAATTAGCCGAGCTACAAGCGCACAGATAGAACAGATAAACAGACAGCAGTGACATGCTGATGCGTTCAAGGATGACTATGATGCAACGCTCAGCATTCGGTGGAGAGCGAAGGCTGCTGGACGAGGTGAAGTGAAGAAGTATGTCCGAGCAGCTGCTATAACTGTATAAACAATATAAATATATATATATATATATATATATATATATAGAAGAAAATACCCGAAAGAATTGAGTGGAAACTTAAAAAAAGAAAACGAAAAAAAAAAATAAAAAAAAATAATAATTTTGCGAAAAGCAGTAACCAGAAACTGAAAAGCAGAAACGTGGTGAAAACACTTCTTAGCCTTCTGCACTCACTTTCACAGAGAATATCCTGCTCTGTGACAACGACGCGTACTGCGCGTGAAATTGCAGTGTCCATCCTACAATAAAACACACTGACTTTGCCGCCAACGCCCCACGACGATTCTTTAATAATCAAGCTTCCTCTCCAATTGCTTCACAATGTGCCAGCATAATACCCGTGCGTTGTTGGCGCGCAGTTGCAGCTATAAGACGAGTCGTTGGCTGCTGCTGTTGATTGTGATGTGCGGTAAGTGTACTTATTTGTTTGTTATTGTTGTTGTAGTTGTTTCTAGTATTATTGTTATTGTTTTTATTATATTATTTCATAATACAAACAATATGCTGTGAAGTGCTATTGGTGACGCTACAAAGCTGCAAAGCTACAGAGCGCTCATATTATTTTAGTGGGAAGCCATAAAGGGTGTCGGTGGCCAAAGAAAAGAAAAATGAAATCCTCAGTTCCAATAAGCACTTCTCTCAAGTACTTTTGGTCTACTGAATGCGCTTATTTAAGTGTTCCCGATAGTTGTATGTTCTCTAAAAGGTTACCGGGAAGTGCCCTACCTTCGAGATTATGTTAAATTGGCGCTTTAAGACTACCACCATCATACCCCAGTATTGATGTGCGTCCTAAATTTTTGCAAAATCGTTTTCGAAAGTCTATTAGTTTTTTATGACGGGCTTCAATTTTCATGTCAGAAATATATAGAGGGTTGGGTTGACGCTATCGGCCGAGGAGCATAACTAGAAAATTTATTTATACAATTTTGGTTAGATTTCCTTCGCTGGGGTAGAGGGCATGCTTATCATTTCTGTCCACAGCGTCGATCCACTTTAGAATTAAAATCCTATGATTATGGGTATTCGTTGGGTAAATTTCATTGTTTCGTTAATGTCGAATAAATCAGAGATGGTAGCAGCTTGCCAAATTGCAGCCTGCTTCTGGACAGGTAGACAATGAACCAGCTTAGGTTCTTTCGATTCCAAGCTTAAATTTCTCGCCTTTAATAGCAGTTCTGACCTTTCCCGATGGGAAATCGTAATGGATGCATCTTAAGTATCTATCAGCCATTTCGACTTAACCTAGCCCCTAACGTAGACAGATTGAATGCTTAGAAAAACTTGCACTTCTCTGCCGTCGAAATAGTACAATTTCTATGCTCAAATGTGTCACTCAACTTAGAGATTCGTTCTCGTCCCTCCACTTTGCTATTCTTCAGGTTGGTATGCCTATCAAATTGAGGGGGAAAATAGCAAAACAGAAAAAAGGGTCTTCTGATACACCCTGTATACTACTGCTCAGCCATTGTTGTTGCATTAGATTTTGCTGCACTCTAAGAACACATTGTTCGAAATGGTGGCACTTTGGTAAATGGTAATTTTTAACCTCATTGAATTTCTCATTTCGGCCATGGCCCAGCAACACTCAAACCCACATCCCCACACACCCACACACACATAAACATACATACACACTGCGGCCAGTCGTCTGGCAGTATAACAATTTTCGATTTTTGGTTTTGGTATGCAAGTGCGAAAATTGGAAATTCCTACTACACTTCTTGCTGCTGCAACAATTGCAAGTCTGGCGTAGTTGGCTGAGTTGCCAACTTTTCGTTTTTTAATTCAATTTTTTTCGTTGTTTTTTTTTTTGCTGAGAGTTGCTGTGTGTGTTTGAGTATTGCTGGAATGTTAGCTTTGCTGTGCGTTGCATTTGCTATTTCGTCGTCAGCTAAATGAACTCTCAAGGAAATGAAGCGTAAAAGAATTGCTGGCGTGTATAGTGTTCGTGTACTTGAAACTTGGCATAATTGTAATTTACTTATTAAGTGGAAATGCATCTGAGAGTGGGCTGTGTTGTTCTTCTTGCAGTTGTTGTATGGTACTTATTACCTATCTCAACTAAGTGCCGCTGCTGCTGCTGCTGCTGCTCCGTTGGCTGCATTAACAGTCACTTAATTGACATTAATTACTAAGTGCAGTTTTATGAGGATGCAAATTTTTTCAAAGAATCTCTCTAGAAAATCGAAAAAAGAAGTAATGGGAATGTAGAGAAAACTATATTTTTTACTTTATGGAGCGCAATAAAATTTCTTTGTTAGCGAACTTTTATCGAAGGTGAAATAATTTTGTGATTTTTTAAACGAAGTTTGATCCGAAAGAGCCGAAATCTGCCAGAGATGCAGAGAACTTTTGGTTTTTTTTTTGTCTCGATGCTCGATTGAAGTTTCTACAGAGCTAGAAAATCTCGGGAAAGGGATTCACCACTCTGTTAAAATTTGGCTGTAAACTAACAGGATTGTTGGTTTAACATAAGAAAAAGCTGTTCTTGACGGAGGATTTAGCATATACAGATATGTTAAGAAATAAGACCAATGATATTTCACAACTATATAAAAAAATTTGACGATTTTTATTCCTGACACTAAAAACGTGTGACCGTACCAATGAAAATGTTTGAATTTTGCTTTTGGGTCGAACAGATCTGTTGTGAAACCTCAGCCTAAATTCAGGGCCTTAAAGATCGTAAAAGAGCAACAACAACACACCATTTTGCATCAAACGCGACGATGATAGAATTAATTGGTAGTGAGGCAAAGTGCTAAACCCTATTTTAGGTATCATGGGGGTGCATTTACAACAGATTAAATATTTTGGGACGTTAAGGTATTACTCCTCCTGTTGGAAGATCTAAACGAGGTGTTACTTGATCTTTACGACCCATACAGAGGCAGACCATGCCGATTGAAACGCCAGATACTCACATATTACGCCCTCTATTATTTCCTAAATATCTCCTATATATATTTGGCGCTATGTAACCGCTGAACCGATTTTCGGCCGAGCTCCTCCTCCAATTTGTGGTTTTGCGTCTTGATGATTTTCTCACCAATGGAGGGACCTACAGTTTATACTAAGCTGCCTCCGAACGGCTGATAGTTTTTTACGAGGAGTCTTTATTTTATGTCCGAAATATACTCGGAGGGGTGGACATTCCCAGCCGAAGGGCAACCGCAGTTCGGAAATTTAAATTGATTTTTTATTTAAATCAATTTTCCATAACTTTTGGTTGTTGGTGGCACCGGGATATGAACCCGAGCGTTTCGAAATCAGTACGCAATGCAAACTATACGGCTACCGCGGCCGCCATTATCTCCTAACGTACCATTAATTTCAAGCGTCAGCAAGACTTTATTCCTCGGCATGGAATGGCAAGAAGCAATGCCCCATTAGTGGTCCTAGCAGCGGTAAAAATTTATTATGCTTCGCGTGATTGGCATGTTTCTTGTTTAAGCCTTAAAGACCGCTTGGCTATTAACGTAAATTTGAATTCTCTTTTTTAGTACGAGTCAGTAGCCTACACACAGAAATTATCAGAATTTTTGGGTGATTCGTTTCATCGATTCATATATAAATTTATCCCAATATCGGAGACCGAAGTGTCGATGTTAGGTCTCCATTCCTTACTTCTAGCCTTCAGTGGTGATTAAAGTAGGATAGCAACGGTCGGAGTGAAAAAAATGAGATCGGTATGAAAGCGCAGCTTCCAATGGTTGATATTTTCACAAAGGAATAGATGCATGCTTACTATGCAAGACAACCTTTTTCTTAAGAGCTTGGTTACAATCTCTCAAGGTCTCATATTTTTTGTAAGTTCAGAAGAGAGAGAGAGAGAGCTAGCAAAGTCGCATGTAGAATAAGATCTTTGTTCCAAATTAGCATCAGTAGGGATTATAGCAATATATGAATCTCCTCGTCCGACAACATGTTCGCCTTTTCCATTCTTTCGTCCATCTTGATTGATTCCTTCTTCGTGGTCCGTATTCTGTCTTCACTTCCTCTGTTGCATTTTCTTCGTTATTTACTTTTAGATCGTTCGACTTATATGGAAGTTGCTAAAAGAGATACCCTTTCTTCCAGGAAATCAGCCTGGGTTCTTTTTAGATTTTGCCTAAATTTACATCGGAAACACTTTTCGAAGTCGCAGTACCTTTGCCGCCGCTATCTAGCTCAAGTTCGCAATGGTTGCCGCACTTAGAGGCTTCAATTTACTTCTCCAAAGTGCGGGACATTCGCAAAGGAAGTGCTCCAAAGTTTCAGATATTCTTGTCGGCAATTACTGCAGAGGTCGCTAGGAGAGTTAGCATCTCTAATGAATAATTTTCCTTTATTAAGCTTACAAACTTTTCCATCATAGCAGGTTGGTCCGTCTAAGGTTCAAACCATGTTCAAAGAGAACTGTAAAGTGATCTGCGGCAGCTCTCTACGGTTTTCGATTACCCGATTAAAGAATCGAGGCTCTTAATGCTGCCTGATTATTCGAAAAGATATGAATTCGATTGTCTGAGAGTATCATTGAGCTGAGACGATTGACAGCTTCATTTATAGCCACCAATTCTATAAAAATAAAAACATACAGTGATCCGGAAAATGAAAGGATTTACAAATACCAAAATACCTTGAGTAAACTCCGCCACCCAACTTGTTGTCTCAGTCGGTACTTACTTGCACTATTCTGTCCCATTAGATTCCATCCGAAATAACTGCCTTGAAATCTGTCATGAAGTCCATTTATAAATAATGTGAAAAATTAGTTATAAATCTTGCTAAAAGCATTTTGTAATTCCTTGTGAACGAAGTCGTAAATTATTTGTATTTAAATTTCTTTTGTTGTTTGAAAGAAAGCTTTCTTTAACAATAAAAATGATAAAAAGGCAACGAATCAAATATGAAGAAAAAAAATAAAAACGTATAAAATACAAACTTTTAAATTTTAAGTAAATTTTAAATACCCACTCCTTCATGCAACCAATCACTGGCACTGCCACAAAAATATGCAAACACTAGTTGACTATTAATTGGTTGTTTGGTAAACCAAAAAAAAAAAAAAAAAAAAAAAAAAAAAAAAAAAAAGAAAGAAAAAAAAAACAGAAAATGCCAATAAATGCATGCAAATAAAATAATCAAGTGTACAAAGCAAACAAATGATGAATAAATAGCCTATACATTTTGAATCAATAAACCAATGCCCCCGGGAAAAGCAAATAATAATAATGAAAAAATATGTACACATTTATTACAATTTTTTAAATTCACCAAAAGCCAAAGCAAAGCAAAAGTGAAGGGAAGAAAACAATAAATTAAAAAAAAGGTGAAACTAAAAGTGAATTCAAAAAAATTAAGCAAATCAAAAAAAAGTCATAAAATCATAACTCGAAAAAATTCCCACAGAATTTTTCACATTTT